AGGGCTAACATTGTTCCCACGGGTGCCACTCAGGCGGAACCCACACCTTCCCCCCCCCCCCCCAGCCCTGCCTGGGAGCCTGAGTGGGCCTGGATGGTGCCCCATGCACAGCTCCGTCAAGTGCATAATGATTATTGCCACCATTTGCCAGCTCCCTGCCCGGTACTTGACAGCCATTATCTGCCTCAGCACTCCCAGGCTCCTCGTGAGGTCAGTGTCATTATCTGCCTTTTACTGCCGGGTATTGCCACTCTGAGAGGTGAAGTGCCGTCCCAAAGGTCACTGCCAGTGTGTAGGGGAGGGCAGCCCAGATCTGCCTCATTCCGGTCTGTGTTTTCCATAGAGGCCTATTTCCTTTTCCACAATGATGCCAGGTGCCCTTGACTTCCTTCCCAGCCCACCCTACCCTAGAGCCTGTCCACATCCCTATTGAAGAATGTCACCCCTTTGCCTTCAGGGCCCCCCAAAGGTCAGAGGGCTTCTTCCTGTCCCGTGCCTGTGTGATGCTTCAGTGGCAGGAATGGTCCTGGCTCACTCAGGCATAGGTGTGAGGCTGTATGTGTGCGAGAGTAACAGACACCATGATAGGTGAATGAATGTCACTGTGTACCCTGTGTGACTGCAGCAGATGTTATTTTCCATTTCCGTGTGTGTGTGTGTGTGTGTGTGTGCACACAGGTGGCTATGTGTTCGTGTAGGTGTGCATACTTGCGGAGGCCCTGACTTGAGGTCAGGTCAGCGAGACGGGTTCTCAAACCCAGAGCTCGCTGATAATTGTTTGGGGATTCCATCTCCACTTCCAAGGCTGCCAACCCACCCAGCATTATGTGGGTTCTGGAGATCCTAACACCAGTTGTTAGGGTCGTTCACAGATGGGAGGTAGAGGGACAAGTCGGGGGGTGCGGACTCCTTGGATTCTGCTTAGGAGCATCTCTTTCTGGGTCCTGTATCCTAGGTAACACTCCTCTGGGATTGCGGTTCTTACCCAGGTACTGTTGGGATTGGGCCCTGCGAGTCTTCTGTAGATATTTTTTTCTCATCACCTGCCTGGCTTGTCTCTGTTGCCGCTGTCGCGGGTAGTGTTGTTTTGAGCTAGATGGCAGACGTACACCTGCACATGCCCAGCCTTCCGCATCCTGGATGGCAGACGTACACCTGCACATGCCCAGGCTTCCGCATCCTAGATGGCAGACGTACACCTGCGCATGCCCAGGCTTCCGCATCCTAGCAGAAGCCGATCCCTTACCATTTGGCCTGTAGTCCAAATCGCTGCAGACCTTGGGGCCCAGCACAACTGGTGCTTAAGGCAATGGAGAGAATATGAGGTTGGAGTCAGATTCTACGGTTCCTTGTGAGCAAGACACTACATTCCCTGAGCCTCAGGATCCTCTGACATGGGAACACCTTACCTCAGACTGGTGTTGAGAAGCCAGCATGGCACCTTCTTCCCTGCCTCCCTCTACTCTAGACCAAGTTGCTAAACCAGCTGGTCTCCCTGCCCCCCACACCCTCACCCATACCTGCTGAGATGGGACATTCCCTCCTTCCTATTTGCTTGCTCACCAGCTACCCTCAGCCCACTGCCAGAGTGTCTCTGTACACAGTGGCTCTGCCAAGGTCTGAAACTGTGTCTCACTGTCATGAGGCAAGTGCCCAAGCTCGGTGCTGTTTGAGCCCTGCTGTACTTCAGCTGTGGCCAGCTCTCCTTCCCTGGGCTCCCAGATCTACATCCGTCACGGGCCACTTCAAATACCATTTCCACCAACAGGGATGCAGTAGTCTGGCCTCAGAGCAGCCTCAGGCTTTCCCCTCATGCCTCCTAGCATGTCCCACAGGAGTCCATATCATGTCTTGGCTTTGGTTCCGGTGTGTGTTGTGTGTGTACATGGCACTCCTGAGGGTGGACACTCTAGCTGTCTCTTCCTCCTGCCCTCCAGGGTGGGAGGTTGTCTCAGTGAGATGCCTCTAGGACGGGGAGGAGGAGGAGGAGGCAGCTGCCGTGTGTGAGCAGAGCAGATGGTGAACGGGTGTCCATCATCTCATCCGGGCCAACCACAGGGGGATGACTCGGCTGGGCAAACAAGCAGACACACCCTCTCCACTCCCCAGCTGCCCCCTGAAGCATCAAGAGAAAGCGCCCACCAGCCTGGGGCCTGAGGGAGGGAGAACTGGGCTTGGGCTCTGGCCAGGGCCTCCAAGCCCCACCAGCTGCCACTTCCTGTGTGACAGTGAGCACTCTCCGCTGCAACGTGGGCATTGCTGACTCGGCGGGCTGTCTTCCCTTGAAGGGGAAGTGTGTGTGCAACCAGGGGCAGTTCAGGAGGCCCTGCACTGCGCTGAGTAGAAGATCAGGTTTTTCTTTGGCATTTGAGAAAATTGGATTCAGTTCTGGAATTTATAGCTATATGACCACAGTTGTCACCAAATCCACCTGGCAGTAAATCTGAAAAAATGTGCCTTCCCCTGGGCTGAAGGTGGCCAAAGCTTGTGTTTACACGTGTGCCGTTGGCCCTATGCCCTTCTGCAGTGCACAGTCAATACAGCTGTACCCAGCAGCCATGTGCGTGTGCACCCTCAGGAAATCAGGGGTTCTTAATCTCACTTAGCTTCAGCTCAGCACCCCACCCCTCAAAATGGGATTATGCAGTGATTTCTTACTCCTTTCCAAAGCTGTTAAAGAGGCTCATAGCCACTGGAATTCTCAGGCCGTCACGGCTTCCTGTGGGTTCCCGTGGCAACCAGAGATTGCTGTACCCTCTAAAACACATTTACAAGTTTTACAGGTTGGACTAACATATGGACCACACCTCTCTCAAGGTCACACGAGTCAGGCTTAGTGTGTTCCAGCTGTTTCTGGGCCTTCCTCGGTTTAGGCCTGTGGAGTCCCCAGAGGGTTAAGTCTCTAGTAGACTTGACCAATGGACACCAGGGAATCACAAGGGGATCACCTAGACACAGCCTTTAAGCCAGATCTGCTGGTCAGAAGGAATAGTGTTAGTCTCCGTGGGAAGCCCAGGGTACCCCCACATCTGGCAGAACCCCTCCCAACTTCCAACAGTGGGGGGTAAGACCCGTTGTGTTGGGAGTAGGGGCAGTCTGACAGCCAGAGCTGCAGAGCTGTCTGCCTGGGACTTGGCCCAGTCAGTATCAACAATTGTCAGCCACTGTTGTTTAACTGCTATGGCTATCAGTGCTTGGGACAAGCCCTGCCACCTTCTGGATTCCCTCTAGACATGGTGGCATCCACTGAATTCCGGGCCTTTTCTGAGCGTTGAGCATACAGCTAATGTTACTGGCCTCTCACAAGCTTGCTCGGATTGTGACAGGAAGGCCTCTAGGATGCAGATGAGTGGAAGTGGTCCTAACTCCGGGGCTCAGGAGCCCCGGGAAGTTGCTAAAAAACACTGGAATCTGCAGCACAGAATCTGAGACACTCAGGTCATGTGACTTTTAAAAGATGAAGCTGAGGCCAAATCTAGAGACAGCCTAGCTCCAGGACCTGAGCTCTGGCTTCTGCTCTCACTCCTGATTAGTGATTTGAGATCCTGGTTGAGTGGTATACACAGCAGGGGCTAAATCATGACCTTGAGTGCCAGCCAGGCCAGGCAGTCCGGCTTTTCTCCAAGGTTTGGGGGCAGCAGTTGGTTGTCCCTACATGGTGAGGCAGTCAGGTCCAGGAGATACTGTGGCTTGGAAGGCCATGGACGTGTGTCGGCTTGCCAGGAGAGGTGGCCTTGGGGATCCCAAACAAGAGTCATGAAGTGACGGAGCAAGGCATGCAGGGTGCTGGGGACAGGCCTCTGGATTCGGGGTGAAAGCTTAGGGTTCCAGGATCACAACTAAGGTCCAAGCTCTAGCAACTTCAATGCAGGCTGATGAGGTCGTATGTTCCCTGAAAAAGAGACGGGACTAAACTCAGAGCTGGCCGCAGGTTGAACAGGGGCAGTAGTGGGAAAGGGAAGAACAGAGTCGGTGGGCTTGGATAGGGCCAGACCCAAAGGGATAGGACCTCATAGCTACTTCCTCTTTCCCACAGTGTGGTACCGCTTCATCCTAACAGGCACATGGAACAGCTCCTGGGCAGGAGAGACAGCAGGGGTGGAAGCCCCTTCCCCTCACCCAGTCACAGCCAGATTCCCTTAGGGAAGACAAGAGCAACCTTGAGCCAGAAAAGCGTTCTTCTAGCACAGTCTCACCCTAAAGCCAAATCAAATCCCAGCACAGTCTTGGGCTCCTACGTCATCCCAGGCCTAACCCAAATCATAAACCCAGCCCCACCTTACCGGCAACCTCACTGCAAACTCCACTCAAAGGAATCCGAACCCAGCCCCGCAGCCTCCATGCCCCTTAGTCTCCATCGCAGACTGTCCCGCCCAGACCCAACTCTTAGCAGGAACTCCCAGCCCCTGACCGACTGCCTAGTCCTCGCGTTAGCCCAGCTCGCCCCTGCAACCCACCCCAGTGCACCCCTCTCTCTCTTCCCCACCACATCATTCTTCCCACTGGCAGCAACAGTGACCTCACCTCCAACCCAGCTCACTGGTACCCAGCAACTGTGTATCCGTGCTTAGCTGCACCCTTATGGAGCACATGGGTTACATGTGTACTTGTCCGCAGGCACACAGATACACTGAAGTACACACCTCCCCACATATATGTATAAACATAGACACACTTCAGGACAAATACACATACTTTAGTGTATGCACACATTCCTAGTATATACACATCCCCATGTACACACATACCTCAGCACACGCATTCATCCTTAACAGACGCATCTACTCTAGTGTACACGTGCATATGCAATCATATACACACACCTCGGTTATGTCATCCTCAGACATCCTCAGACAGTGCCTACACATAAACACACACTCTTCAGTGTACACACAAACACGTTTGCACAAATCTCTTTCAGAATACCTACATATCTTTCAATACATACCTCCACATACATATACATCTCATTGCGCACACACATACTCCTTCAATGTACATACATGACACTTCTCAGTGAATTCACACATTTGCACATGACCCCACAGTGGGGGGGGGGGGCACAGAAGTCCAGTCTAGCTTAGGACAGCATTGCAAATGTTTCCTGCCCCTGCTGCTGGGTCAAACGCTCTCTAGTCCCTTCTTCCCAGGCTCCTCTCCCATCCAGGGATGCTGTCCCTCACCCTGACTTTCTGGATATGCAGCCCTTGTGGTGGAGCATCAGGAAGAAAAGGAGGCCCCAGGACAGCTTTCTCTAGAGTCCTGGGGCTCATACACCCTAGGTCCTGCAGTGGCCACACACTGCATTAGGCATGTTCGATTCTAACGGGTCAGATCGGAGGGGCCCAGATGCGCAGAGATCCATCTCAGTCACTGAGAGCAGGGCGGGATAGGTCAGAGGGCCATACCACCTGAGAACCTGCTGTAGCTGGGCTAGGCCGGTGGCCATCAGAGGAGACAGTGGGGACCAGGAGGTGCTGCTGCTATTCAGGTAATGGGCACCTTCAGCAAGGGCTTCCTGTGTGCCAGGAACTGCATCCCTCGGTAGGGAGTCCGCATAGAACCCAGCAGGAGGGCATCTGCCACCCGGGGAGGTATTCACAATGGTCTGCGTCGAGAACCTGATGGGACATTGGGACTTGGAGGGCAGGCATCTGCCACATCAAAACCAGGCAGGTGGTGGGATTTGAACGCATGCCTGAGAATGGCAGAGTTGAATCACAGAGACCAAGTCTGGAGTGTGTCTGGGTTGTGTGTTCTCAGTCTCCCCTTTCTCGGGGCTCACTTTTCACAGCCCCCCTGAACTTTCCAGGCCCGGCTCACCTCTGGCTCCTAGCAGCCCCTGTGGACAGAAGTACCCCATCCTCAAGCCTCTGCATTGGCTTGAGCTCCTTGGGGAGACCTCCTGTCCCAAATGGGAGATGCCTCTTTCATACTCCCCACCCCTATGCTAATGGCCCTGTCTCTGTTGTCATTGTCGTCACAGTCCCCTTTCTGGGCCTCTTTCTTCAAGGGCAGGGCTGGGTCTACAGGGCCTGGCCCAGAGTAAATGCAGGACCCAGCCCAGCTGGGGGTCAAAGTAGTGCCCAGGGAGGGGCCGGGCTCTGTTGATCTCTTATCTCCCAGGCTCCCTTGGCCTTATCTGATGGGGCTCAGCAGGCAGCAGATGAGGCTGACAAGGCCCCAGGGTTACTGAGTAACCCCCGGGCTCTTTAAAAGTCTCCCTGTTTACCCTGGCGCCCAGCATGGGCCAGTTCTCTGCACTGCACACTGCTGCCATGAACGCCTGTTTGCTCTCTCTGTTGTGCCTCCTGGGTGCCTTGGCTGTCCTGGCAGAGGGGGTCACTGTGCAGGTATGGCCCCACCCTTACTTGATCTGACCCATTCTTGGAATCCTGAAACAGGGAAGGGTTTCCTCTGGGACCCTCGAGTCCTACTGGTCATGCAATTTTCTCCTTCAAATGTGGAGGCTAAAAAAAAAAAATAACACTTGGAGAGATAGTAAGAACCAACAGCTGGGATAGACCGTGATAGAGCCCGGAGTCTGGCTGCTCCCCGTGTCCCACGGAAACCCGACAGCACCGGGGAGGAGGGATTGTTGGTGGCATTTCATAGAGCAGAAATGCGAGCTTCTCAAAGCTTCCAAAACAGCCAAACCCCGTGACTGGACTCCGATCTAGGCCTGGATCCCCAGCTTACACTTGCCTGAAGGACCAGGCTTGGTCCCAGGCATTGATTCCGCTTCCTGGAGACCTGGAGGATTGGACATACCTATCAGTGATAGCAGATGCAAGCTTGGCTGTCAGCAAACAGGGATCGTGCGTGCTCAGGGAGACCTCTGGGGTCCTTGTATTGCTTCTGGGGGTGGAGGTGCTCTGGCCAGAGAAGACAGCCTGGGCTAGCTTGCTCACAGGTCAGTCACTGCGTCCCTGGCTCGCCACAGCTGTTTCCCTATTTCTTACCCGAACGCAGAGCTTCAGGCCTCCTACAAGCTCAGGGCCACAGAAGTCTGACCTCATGCTGCCCCAGCGAGCCACCCAGGCTGGGGCCACCTGCAGCCTGGCCTCATGCTTTTGGCTGTCTCTTTCAGGATGGGGACCTCTCCTTTCCTCTGGAGTCAGTCAAACAGCTTAAGGACCTCCAAGAGGAACTAAAGCCCCGGCTGGTGAGTCACAGAAGGGTTGCCGCCAGGCTTGCTCAGCCTGTGACACCATCGCTCTGCAGCCACCCCGCCTTTCCAGAAGCTCTGAAGCCCCTCTGCCAGAAACCCAACGCTGAGGCGATCCTGCGGAGGCTGAGTGAGTGGCCTCCTGGCTAGTGTGACTGGGGTGCTGATTGGTGGTGCTTGAGGAGGCCCCGTGCTCTGATTGGTCAGTCCTAAGTGGGACCCGCTGAAGCCCCCTTAGAAAGGCCTTCATTCGGAAGCGTGGGTTAAAAGGAACCCGTCTTGTGCTGGTAATAAGTCCTTCTCCTTTCTGGGTAGAAGCTGCTCTGATTGGCTGACTTCGCTGGGATTAATCTTGGTGGCTGTTGAGAGATGTCCAGACTCTAGTTGAAGAGGGAGGGGCTATGAAGGAAGGGTGGCTGGTTTTCACCAGGCGTCTTCTCTCTTGACCAGAGGCCATTGCTCAGGACCCAAACACATGTGAGATCTGTGCCTACGCTGCCTGCACCGGATGCTAGGATGACTTGTCTGCTCGGCCAGCGAGGAAGCCCCTGCTACCTTCTAGAAGCAAGGGCCTGACAAACTCCCAGCCCCAGCATCTCAACCTACCCTGCCCACGCAGGGAGGAGGCTGAGGAGACAACTACCTGGGGAGTCCTACCTGGGGGCTGTGCTAACCCTCGGCCAATAAACCAGACTCAGGTACTCGGTGCGTTTTGCCTCCGTTCCTTCCCTCGCTGCTGGTCTGCGGTCCTACAGCGCTGTGGACACTCACCTGCCCTCAGAAAGTTCGGGTTCAGTGTGCAAAGTGGAAGGCTCCAGTGGCAGGGGACCACTTGAGAGGGTAAAACCTTGACTTTTCTCACATTCGCTGGGGTCACCGAGCTGCTAAGCCGTGTATGAGGACAGGAACCTGTCAGGGCTGGTTTGTCCCATACAGGCATGTGACCGACCACTCAGGACCCGGCTCCCTCTGCCCAGCCACGCTGCTTCTGCCCTTCCTTTGACCCCACTGGAAGCGGCACCTGCAGCTGTCTTCCTGCATGCCTAGTTAGGGTAGCAGCCAAACGTCCCCATGGCCTTGCCGATCCTCCCCAAGAAGAATGTTTATATGCCTTGTGGTCGTCTGTGCCTCTTGAGCCTCTAGTCACCCTGATAAGGACTTCTATGTCTGAGGAAGTTGTTCCTGTCCTCACTTGGGGGTGGATTCTGCCCCCAGTGATGACTGTTGGAAGAATAACTGTGTGGGAGGGAAATCCAGGACTCTGGGTCCCAGCCTCTGGTCTTCCACATCCTGTGTGATGTTAGGAAAACCACTTCCCTTCTCTGGGCTTCAGTTTCCTTCTCTGTGACAATATCTAGCTCTAGCACTGATGGATGGCTTTGAGCCCCTATGTGTGTGCTGTGAACTGAACCCATGTCCTTTTGTAGGAGCAACAAGTGCTCCTAACACTGGGCCATCTCTCTAGCCCCCCGAAAAAGTTCTTAAAGCTCCAGCCACCATTTCCCTTTCCTTTTAGATGTGTGCATGTATGCATTTATCATGTGTAGGTATGCATTTATCATGTGCATGTATGCATTTATCATGTGTAGGTATGCATTTATCATGTGCATGTATACATTTATCGTGTGCATTATGAATTTATCATGTGCATGTATGCATTTATCGTGTGTAGGTATGCATTTATCATGTGCATGTATGAATTTATCATGTGCATGTATGCATTTATCATGTGTAGGTATGCATTTATCGTGTGCATGTATGAATGTCTGTGCACCACACGAGTGTGGGTGAGCCACCATGTGGTGCTGGGAGTCAAACCCAGGTCCTCTAGAAGAGCAGCCAGTGCTCCATCACTCTTCCCCTCTCCTGCTTGTCCTCGGAAAGGTACCGGAACAATTGTCCTAGTAAGAACAACTAGACAAGAAAACAGAAGTACCGAACTGAGAAAGTAAGAGTATAATTATCTCTTTGCTGAGGGTGCAGTCATATATAGAAAGCTCCAAGGAGCTCGCCTAAAAAGCTCGTTGTCACTCACAGACAATCCAGGAAAACTTCAGGATACAGAATTAATATATGAAAGTTGGTATCACATCTCTACACTAACAATACGCTCCCCAGAACACAAACAAGGAGAGTCCTGTCACAATAGGAACGGTACCGACAACGGCAACTCTGAAACAATGGAAGACAAGAAGCAAAGGAACTAGATAGTAAAAAGTTAAAAAAAAAAAAAAAAAGAATGAAATTGAAAGGCATCTTATTTGTTCATGGATTAGAAAAATAAAAGAAGTTTTAGACATTAGAATGTCCACAGTACCTGAGGTTCAATTCAATACAATCCTTAACAAAGTTTCAAAGATAATTTTTACAGAAATAGAAAAAAATCTGAAAATTCCTATGAATTCATACAAGACTCAAATACTCAAAAATCTTTTTGTTGTTTTAATTTTTGAGGCAAGATTTTACGTAGCTAAGGCTGGCTCAAAACTAATTATGTGGGTGAAGGTGACCTTGGCCTTAAGCTCCTCCTGCCAAGTGTGAGCTACCATGCCTGGTTTACTGGTGTTGTTGGGTGTGAAGCCCAGGGCCCTGTGCAAACATTCATCAACTGAGCTATACTCCAATCCTAGTCAAAGCCGCCTTAAGCAAAATGAGCAAAGCTGGGCTCGGCTTGTTACACTGTAATAGTTTAAATAAGAAATGTCCCCCATGGTTTTGGGCCTTTGAACACTCGGTCCCAGTAGGTGATGGTCTTGTTTGGAAAGATCTAGGAGGTGTGGCTTTGCTGGAGGACGCCTGACACTGGGGGGGGGGGGGGGGGCTTTGAGAACTTCCATCCTGGCCTAGATAGTTTCCCTTCTCTGGCTGTAGTGAAGGGTGTGAGCTCACAGCAACCTGCTCCGGTACCATGCCCCTCACCTTCTGCCTCTCTTCCCCAGCGTGAAAGACTCTTAACCCTCAGGAATTTTAAACTGAAAAACTTTCTTCTGTAAGATGCTTCGGTCATGGTATTTTTGTCACAGTAAGAGAAATGTAACTAATAGGCACATTATCTTGCCTCAAAACCTACTACAAAGCTATAGTAGTCAAAACAGCATGGTTCTGACAACCAACCAACCAACAAACAAACAAAAAGCCCAGGCAGAAACCAAAGGAACACATACTACCAGGGAAGAAAAATCATCGTGTGTTTACCCAGCTATGAACCCTGTGAGATACTGATGCCATGAATGTTAGGGGAATACCAACCCCTTTCTGATTGGCTTTAAAGTCCACTCCATACGATGGAATGCAAGCCTCGTACTGTTAACTGGGCCAAAAATTTCATTGCTGGCTAGGTCATAGGCCATAGGCCATAGGCAGATAACCTGATGCTATTTTTCTGCGAAGTGGAAGTAGTAATAAACTGCTCTTGAAGGGCTTCTCTATCTCCGTAGATAAGTGCATCTCTCATCTCAGATCTTCCCCTTTTCAGTAGCTGGTGATTAATAAGAGACCAACGAGCAGTCATTGTGCAGAGAATAAGAGACTATAGAGTGCTCTGAATGGGGCATCTTTCTCACAGCCCCCACTCCAAGGCCCGGGGATCGTCACAGAAGAGGAGCAGAAAGATTGTAAGGACCGAAGGGAATAGATATCTGTAGACACAGTATTTTTTTTCCAAATGCAAATGCAAAGCTTCATTTGTTATGTATGGGCTAGCATGGGTCCCCTGCCTCACAGTCTGACACAGCAGATGGAGGGAGAAAGACCCCATCTACTATTGTAAGGCGTTTATAAAGACAAAAACCACAAGACAGGCACAAGATTACAGCTTCAAAGTGCAAGATTGCTTATCCTGTATCACAATTGGTTAAAGGTGAGGTATAGCTTAGCTGACTGTCCCTGATAGGCTATTATTGTCCAAGGGGGATAGCAACAGGCCCCTGGTCACATCCTTTGGAAATTTTTCTGACCCTTTGCTAACTGCAGGGGCTTAGAAACAGTATTTATCAGACAAGACAGTGCAGCTGCAGACATGAACTTGCAGCAGCTGGGACTGCATGCACAGGCCCTGCAGAAGATCAAGCCAGCTAAAATCAGCATGGGGGCGGGGCTTCACGAAGTCCCACCCATAGCGAAGGAGCTATTGGCAGCTGGTGGCTACTGGGGAAGGGAGAGTCAGCTTTCTTCAGGGAAGCTGCCCCTGAGAGCTCACCCATGGTCCGGTGACTACCTACAATTTAGTACACGGAAGCCACATTAAATATACTCAGTGCGTACTTAACCAAAAAACAGAGAAAGAGAGCACAAGAAGTTGGTAGGAGGAAATGGAGAGATGACTCAGGGGTTAAGAACACTGACCGTTCTTCCAGGGGTCCCAGAGTTCAATTCCCAGTAATCACATGGTGGCTCACAACCATAAGTGGCTCAGTTCCCAGCAACCATATGGTGGCTCACAACCATAGTGGGATCTGATGCCCTCTTCTGGCATAAAGTCAATAGAGCACTCATATACATAAAATAAATACATAAATCTTAAAGAAATCGGTAGGAAAGTATAGACAGGGATAGAGGAAGAATAGGAGGAGAGGGGATGGGATGGATTGGATCCAAACACACTGTATGCATATAAAATATCAAATAAAATATTAAAAAAGAAGCCACTGGAACACTATAACAGACCAGGGAGCCCAGAAATAAATCCACAGTACCCAAATCATACCACGAGGAGATGATAGATTCTGCAATAACTGGTGCTGGAGAAAGTGGCTATCAGTATATAAAAGACTGAAACTAGACTCTCACCACCCACAGATGCAAAACAGCTCCAAGTGTAAGACTGGACTGTGTGTACTGAAAGAGAAAGTAGGAGGACCCTTCTTGTCGTTGCTCTTGTTCAGGAGTTGCCAAACACAGACAGAAACAAAATCAGACAAACAGGAGGACACCAAACTCGAAAGCCCTGGACACCTAAGCAAACAGCTGAATAGAGAGATGTGTGGAAGAAAGTTTGTGTGACCTACGCATCTGACGAGGGATTAACACCCAAAGCAGAACAAAATTCAAACAGTCCAGAAAAGATAAAATGGGTGCAGGCCGCAGGAGACATTTCTCAGAAGATATGCAAATAGGCCATAGGTGTGTGTGTGTGTGTGTGTGTGTGTGTGTGTGTGAATGTGCTCAGTGTCACAAGCCATGGGGAAGGGATGTTCATGCCACAGTGCATCACTCCAACATGGGATAACAGGGGGGCTGGAGAGACAGCACCCACATGGAAGTTCCATTTCCAAGGGATCTGACTCCCTCTGCTGAGCTCCAAAGTCACCAGGAAGACACATGGTGCACAGACATATATGCAAGCAAAACATACATATAAAATAAACAAATCTACGAAAGTACAGGTTAATGAAAGTACTAGGAAGGATGTGGAGGGAAGGGGAGGTGATATTAATGCAGCTCAGTTGGTAGATTGCTCGAGGAGCCTGCGTGAAGTCCTGGGTTTAACGTCACCACGTGGATGACTATAATCCCAGCACTGAGATGGTGGAGTTAGGGGGGAATCAGAAGATCGTGGGTGTGATGACTTGGAGGCTATCCTGCGATACACGAGACCCTACCTTAAATATGAGAAGAACATGTGTGTAGTGAAATACAGGTGTGGCATTTCACTTGTATTTTAATAAGTAAAGTTTGCCTGGGGATAAGAAAAGTAAAGCAG